CACATGTGAAGTAGACAGGCAGCGTGTGACCCTGTCCAACCGTCACACAATCAATGAACTAATCCTATGAAGCAGAATAGGATTCGCAGACCAAAAGACCAGAAGTCCGAGATTCTCATTCTTTCTCATTTCACAGAGTGGCTCTATATCATTGTCTTATTCATTGAAAAATGAAATTGAAAAGATCTAGAATTCTGGTCTTCTGGTCTTCTGGTCTGCAATCATATGGATGTCATCGAACCAATCCAATGAAGCAACACGAAAGCCATGTAACATGCACGAGGTATCGCCGTTGCCCACTCATCCATCTGCCGTTTTATGCATAAAATCAGGTTTCAACCGCACGCCACTAAGACCCTTGAATTGCCCTCTATCTTGCACAGATCTATCCGTAAAACGACCGTCTTCGAGTCGATAGTTGGCTCCATCGGCATAGAGGAGGATGCGTTTTTTCAGGGCTTGAGCGGTCAGAGAACTAGAAATCTCCTCCTCCTTCATCCAAGCTCGAAAAGCATCACCAAGCCTTTCTCCTAGAGCTAGGTGCCATTTCGCACGTACACCCTCTTGCATCTCTTCAAACTCGCAACACTCCTCGATGAAACGTTTGCCAACATCGTTGTCGTTGACATACGCCTTCAAGGCGTCCTTCATAGCTTTTGGTCGTTTCTCCAGAACAAGAGCGCTTGGATTTGCTCGTTTCAACTCAAAGTAGCGCTTTGCCCCGGCTGCAATCCATGAAAGTCCATCTTCTCGACCCTCGTCGGACTTCAAGTAAGCTTCCAAGGTAGGGTCTTTGGGCTTCTCTCTAGTTTTCCGCGGATCAACATCGTCGGCCGACTTGAAAGTCACTGTCATCGGAAGGAGGGCCATACGACGTACGAGACTAAACGAAGTGTTTTCCATGATGGGCTTGTAATTAGTGTTTAGAATGGCCTTATGGGACACCATAAAGGTCTCTTGCTTGCCTTGAAGCTCTCTTGCCGTGATGGAGCCGCCTCCAGACAACTCCTTGATTGTTGCTTCGTTAAGGACGGACTTTTCGCTCGACTC